CCTAGATGGACGGTAGTAGATCGTGATACTTCCATTGTCTGTTGTCGTCGCCTGCCCCATTTTCCACAGTCTTCCCTCTCCACTCTACCGCCCGACACTAGAAACGACTCATAGGCACCAAGTCATTGCTCAGCTCTCTTCCTTGTCGTAACAGTATCTCCTAGCACCCCCTCCAAATCCATTTCGTATCGTGTATACGTCATTGTTTCATTATCACGAGTAAAGCAATAAGAACACAACAACAACAACGACCTGCAACGATATGAATGAAATGAATGAAATGAATTCGGTGTATTAGAAAATTAAATTTTGTGATTAATAGAACGCTAAATTTCTTTTAAAAAAAAGTGGTAAGAGTACATCCACCAAATTCATAGGTGCAGTTGGCGAAAGTACTGTGAGTTTGGACCACCTCAGAGTGTAAGCTAAAAGACATTGCTTTCATTCACCATCTGCCTTATCTCACCTGCACTTGATGTGTTATTTATTGGTCCCCCCCCCAATCCCTATGCTTCCAAAACCTAAATTTTAATGCATTTCCAATAAGACAACTTTTCATGATATTACCTCTTCTTTCATCTAATTTTCTCTTCAAGGGTTGAATCGTCTTTGTTTACCGTCTTTTTTTAAGACCCGGTTTCATGACATTGTTTACCTAGCGTTCGTTGTTTTGTAATCGAAAGGGTTGAACTGTCTTTTGTTACTGTATATATTTAAGAGTGTTTAATTTTACTCCGCTTTTGTTGTTTTGTAATCGAAAGGGTTGAATTGTCTTTTGTTACTGTATATATTTAAGACTCTGTTTAATGGCGTTTTTTTTACTAGCTTTCGTTATTTTGTAATCGAGAGGGTTGAATTGTCTTTTGTTACTGTATACATTTAAGAGTCTGTTTAATGACGTTTTTTTTACCTAGGGTTCGTTGTTTTGTAATCGAAAGGGCTGAATTGTCTTTTGTTATTGTATAGTTTTTTTTTTTTACCTACTTTTCTTTATTCAGCCATCATAAGGGTTGAATTGTGTTTTGTATCATCTTTTTTTAAGAGCATGTTTGATTACATTTTATTACCTAATTTTATTTTTTCAATAATTTTGAAAAAAAATTAATTTGAAAGTACGAAATTTGAGGAAGGGGGAGTAAATTAGAATTGAAGTACAATAAGGTCCCAATATTTGGTTACTTAAAACAATCAAAAGACATTAATATTTTCCAGTTGTGGTAACCTACAGGCAACCCTATCAAACCCCTTTAGGACCCAAAAAAATGCCTAAAATTAAGCCTTTTTGGACCAAATGGCTTAATCATGGCATTCAATTTTGGTTGAGATTTAGATTTACATTTAGATTTACCCCTAATTTCTACAACTTATTTGTAACTCCTTACCTTCCTACTTTAAATGATATGTAGCTTCTTATTTTTAACTTCACCTTACCTTATTTTTAACCACAAAAATAATTATATATATATATATTCCACTCGTCCTGACCGTTCGACTAGGGTTTAAGCTTATGGATGTTAAATGAACACGACTCTCCACAATGGTATAATATTGTCCACTTTGAGCATGAGCTCTCCTTTGGGCTTTCTCAAAAGACGTCATACCAATGGAGAGAGTATTCGTTGGTTATAATAAACTCATGATCATTCTCTAAATTAGCCGATGTGGGATTTTCGAGTATTCGTTGGTTATAATAAACTCATGATCATTCTCTAAATTAGCCGATGTGGGATTTTCGAGTATTCGTTGGTTATAATAAACTCATGATCATTCCCTAAATTAGCCGATGTGGGATTTTCGAGTATTCGTTGGTTATAATAAACTCATGATCATTCCCAACATCTCCCTTTAATCGAGACTCTACTCCTTTTTCTTTTGGAGTCCAAGCTCTCATGGCTTTGGTTTGGGTTTCCCCAAAAGGCCTCGTACCAATGGAGATAGTATTCCTTGATTATAAGCCCATGGTTATTCCCTAACTTAGCCGATGTGGGACTTTTTTATCCCACCATGGACTTATTTCAGCCAGGTTGAATTCAAATAAATGAAAATTTTATAGATCTGATTGGTTCATGGGTAACCCTAAAACTTGGTTGGATGGATTCCAACCCACTCGAATTTATTGTTAATTTTAAAAATGACATTTTTAATTACGATACAATTATAAATATACATATATTTATGATTTTTTTAATTATTCATTATTTATACGACTCGAATAATTTGAACCCATCCAATTGAAAAAGTTAATGGTTAGGTTGGGTTGGGTTCGTTTAATAAAAGGTTATTTGAGTTAAAAAAATGTACCGTTCGAAACCGTTTGGTCTAAAAAAAGTCAATCTAATCCAACTCAACTCATAAACACTTGATTATAAACTTTTAAATATTTTATTTTTTTCTCGGACTTTATGTAAAAAAAAAAAAAAAAACATTTGATAACAGGTCATATCTCTCTGTATTATAAACTTAATTTTTAAAAACAAAAAATTTAATAATTATCAAACGAGGTTTAACCAACTTAAGTATCATTAATTAAATCATCAATCAAAATACTGTTCGTATTGTTATTACACCAGTAGATTAGGATGACACAATTCGTTGACTAATACCTTTTACGTGCATCAATATGAAGCAGACAACCATACACATCGAGCTCAAACTCTTATTTTCATCGTTTTATTTCTTAATTTTACGTCGTTTACTAAAATTAATTAAAAAAATTACTTTTAATTAAATTGTAATTGTTTTTTAAACTATAAATTAAAAGATTAGGGTATTTTAATAATCATTAATTACCGCAAGAAAATAAGGTTTATAAAGAAATTTATGAAATGCATAATTGAGCAGTTAGAGTTTCGTGTAGGTTTACTTAGAACATTATGGCTATAAGAAGAAAATAAAGCATGAAATATTTAATTTGTTTTTTTTTCTTTTTTTCAAACCTCATTTAAAACATTAAAACATTAATATTAATTGAAGGCTAATTTAATGAAACATTATGCTGTCAGGTTTTGGTTGGGGAAATTTTGTTCATTCATTTTTTTTTCTTTTTAATTTTTTAATGCTTTTGTTTTTTTGGATCAGGACGACGTCGTTTAAGGCCAAACTTACTCGTTGTGAGGTCAGTAAAGCAATGCTTATATAGCCATTTTTCGAGGTTGATGTCACCGATAGCTCTAGGGGCACCTCCGCATTTCTTCTCATTTTATAGCCCTTAGAAGAGTCATAGAAGTCAGCTCGGGAATAAAAAAAAAAAAACCCTAAAATCTCGATACTAATGTTAATTTAATGTTTGAAATTTGAAAGGATCGGGAATAAAAAAAAAAAAACCCTAAAATCTCGATACTAACGTTAATTTAATGTTTGAAATTTGAAAGGATGGTGACATAAGTAATTAAATTCTCCTTTTAAGAATATCTTGTATTTGGAGAAGAATGTTGGAGTTTTAAGGTTTTAGTTGAAATTTTGACTATGTTCTTGTTGAAGGTTGTCTCATGCCTCTTTTAACGTATCAATTTCATATTACCCTTTTGGTTCGGTAATCTATATTGAAATAAAACGGTAAAAGTAAAAGTACGAGGAAATTTTGTGGACCGACCCAAAATTTTAGATTGATTGGGTTAGTAACCTAAGTAATCCGAAATTATTTCACAATCTAACCCAATTCAACCCCTTATTCTCGGGTTGGGTTGTCGACGAGGAACTGTATCTGTGAGGGGTGTCTTGTTTGCATTTAGTGGCAAGGACGAGGAGCATGGTTGACAATCTGAGTGAGGTGAGAAGTTGCGTATCTGTCTGTGAGCGTCAGTACCTAACTTTTGGATCGGTTCAGTTAGAGTTAACCTGAACTTTTAGCCCAAACCGATTTAATTTCAAAAAATTAACCTAACTCGACTCAAAATGCTTAAGTTGGGTTGGTCGGGTTTTCGAGGTTGGTGTAATCCAACGAACAAATATTACGTTACAAAGTAGAATGGTAAGGAGAGGTACAATTACCGTTTTAACTAGGAAATGAGTTTGAAGGATGGTAGCATGAGTGTAGGGAGGAGGGGTATTTTGGTAAATTAAAAAAATACGTTGTTTGTTTGTGGGTTTTTTCTTTCATCTTCTTAAGGTTAGGTCACATGATTAACCGAGGTTCGGATATAGTCAGATGGACATCAGCCTTCGCCCACTTCACAGCTCGACACGTAGCACTTCTCTCACTCGTTTCTCTCTCCCCTTAATAACCTCATCTCTAATCACCACCGTCCAATCAAATCTCCCCATCACATCACATCAATCGTCTACACCCGTCCGCACACGATAACTCCCCTCCCCTCCAAAAAAAAAAACCATTCTTTTTTCTCCAACCCTATTCCGATCTAAGCTTGGAAAATTTGTTGATAGCGTTGAATTGTGCATTTAAATTTCATCAAACAAATAATAATTTTCATGAGCCTTTTGACAATTTTAAAATCTTACACGGAGAAGCTTAGACTATAGATCGATTCAATTTCAACCCGATTTTGTATGTCAAGCTGTAATTTATTAGTTTTTCTTTCTCGACCACCGAGTAATTTGTTCACTCAAACATAGGAGTGTATACCGATCCCGAGTAACTTGAATAAAGTTCACAACCCAACATGACTATTTTATTTTCGAGTTCGGTTGGACTGAGCTCGAATTTTATTTTTTAAATTATTCAAAAAAAAATTATATTTATCTTATATTAATAACTAAAATATTATAAATCTCAAACATTTATCACGGTCAAATATTATTAATTTTCATAATTAAAAATAGTTAGGGTAGGGATGAATTGGGTTAAAAAAATATAACATTAAGTTAACTCAAATTTTTTTACTTTACTGAGATAGTCTTAAAGTTACGGAGTCATGTGAAGAGTGTTGTAGTAAATTTTTTTTTTAATTGTGGATAAAGGAGAAGGAATAGACACGGGCGCAGAGGATAATTACCCAAGGCCGCAGAAAAAAGAAAGAAAAAAAGAAAAGGAAAATGGTGTAGGTTCATAGTTAGTGAGGAGGGAGAGGGTATGAGGAGGGGATTGGTGAAATAAGCGAAGAATATAAATGGTGACGCACAAAGGTTAAGAGGGGGGAAAGAGAGAAGTGAAACAAAAAGAGCAAAGAAATTTGATATTTGATTTAGTTTTTGGCATTTCCTTTTCCGTTTGATTTTCGTTTTGATTTTCCGGGAAAATTTGGGATCAAATCTGTTTGGTTAGAGAGAAAAAGGAAAAAAAAGGAAGAACAAAATGGGAAGAGGAAGAGTAGAACTGAAGCGGATAGAGAACAAGATCAACCGGCAAGTGACCTTCGCGAAACGAAGAAATGGTCTGTTGAAGAAAGCTTATGAGCTCTCCGTGCTTTGCGATGCCGAGGTTGCTCTCATCATCTTCTCCAATAGAGGAAAACTGTACGAGTTTTGCAGCAGTTCAAGGTATCATCATCATCATCATCAACAACAACAACTGTTGTATTGAACACTAATTTTTTTTTATTTTAATCCCGTTTTTGCCATTCTTTCTTTTTAGGTTTTCTGTTTCTTCCCTTTCTTTTTTCCCCTTTCCATGCTAAGAATAAAAGAAAGAGAGAGAATATTTTCAAAACAAAATTTACATATATATATATACACATAAACGAATGAATCCTTTCCTTTTCGCTTCTCAGTGTTTTCTTCCGTCGCTTCATCCATGGTGTCTCAGAAATTAGGGTTTTCTTCTTCTTCTTCTTCCTCCTCCATGCCGCCATGGATCGATCCATCGATTTAGGGTTTCTTCTTCTTCTTCTCCTCATTTAGGGTTTCCTTACTGTTTTCTTCATGGATCTTTGTTTCTTTTACCGATTAAGAGTTGTAGTTTGTGTTTTTCAAGGGTTTTGATCCGAAATGAGATTTGATTTCTGAGGATTTGTGTTTGTTTTCATGTAAATTTGAAACTAGTAATGGATTTTTTTAATTTGTTCTTACTATTTTGTGTTTGATTATTACTATAATAATTTCAGGCTTCAGGATTCTTCAAAAATTTAAGAAATAGGTTAATTATTGCGTACTTCAAGGTTAATAATTCATGTATTTGTTGATTACAGGAATTTGGCATTTAATGATTTTCAAGATCTCTCAAATGTTATTCATTTTATCTAATTTTTTTAAACACTTTAAATCGAGGGATTTATTTATTTTGGTATTATTATGTGTGAAATCTAGCATGCTGAAAACTCTTGAGAGATACCAGAAATGCAACTATGGAGCACCAGAGCCAAATGTATCCACTAGAGAAGCCTTGGTAATCACTTTTCTATTATTTATTTTTTAAATTAAGTAGGTTAATTAATTAATCCTTTTTTTTTTTTAAATAAAAGATGTTATTATTATTATTATGATTTGATGATATAAAATGATAGGATGGGTTAATTATAGGAACTGAGCAGCCAGCAGGAATATTTGAAGCTTAAAGCTCGCTATGAAGCTCTGCAACGATCCCAGAGGTAATAACCCCAACATTTTAGATACCTTTACTTTTCATTTTTGTAGAATATTGATTTCTGATCTTAAAGTTTTAGGTTCAAGGGTAATTTAGGACGTATTGGACTGATATGTGTCATGTTATTGTCTATTCTCTTCGATTAATAATGTTTTTTCATTCGTTAGGGGTAGAGGTGTTCATATGACCCGATAACCCGACCAACCCAGACTACCCCATCCCAAATCATTAACATTGGGTTGGGTTGAGTTAGGGTAAAGTTTTTTCGAATTGGGTTAGGTTGAATTTTTTTGGAAAACAAAAAAATACGGGTTAATTCACTTGTTAGTATTTTTTTTGTCGGGTCAACACGACCAAATTGAAAATAGGGTTAAGACCAACCTAACCCGCCTTATTCTACTTTTTAGATTATTATGAAAATTAAAAATATTTGACGTTTGTAACTGAGGTTAGTGTTGCGTTGTGACTTGTGACTGTTTGATATTTGAGTTTTATGAGATTTTAGTTATTAATGTAGCATATATTGGGATAAGTAGGCTTTTTAAAAATAATTACAAATAAACATCCGACAATCAAACTCAACCCAATCTGAAAATAGAGGATTATGTTGGGTTGAGTTGAATTGTGAATTTTGTTCGAGTTGTTTGGGTCACCGATCTAACAAGCTCAAAATTTTGAGTTAGTCCAAAAGATTTTTCCAACTCAACTTAACTCGTGTAGACCTCTAATGGAAGGTTCTACAATCGTTCAAACTCACAACCACAAGGGAAAGAACGTTTAAAGTAATGATATGAGATTACATGTACAATAACTTATTGATTTACATTAAAGTTTAAATAAACACATAATGAGATTAACCGAGTCGTGTTTAGTTGGTTCGGAGACGCTCGGTTATTTCGTAATTATGTTTTCTTTTTATGTGATAATTTGAATATAAGCAGGAACCTTTTGGGAGAAGACCTTGGCCCATTGAGTAGCAAAGAACTTGAATCTCTTGAAAGGCAGCTTGATATGTCACTCAAGCAGATCAGATCAACAAGGGTAGTTCTTCAACTTCTCCATTGCCTTTAATAAAACCATCCAAAATTATAATCTCTCTCATTCAATCCTTTTCTAATCTTTTGCAGACTCAGTACATGCTAGATCAGCTCACTGATCTTCAACGTAAGGTATGAGGACACGAACACATATACGACACGACACGAACACTATAATTATATGGTTATAAAAATGAGTTTGATATGTTTCGATCTAATAAGTTAGAGTATTCAATCTTGTTTTTGTTTAAACAAACTTTCAGGAACATCTTCTTAACGAAGCAAACAAGACACTGAAACAAAGGGTATAAAAACATATCTGTTGATAATTTTTCTTTTTCTTTTTTTTTTTTTTTTTTTTTCAAAGTTATAAAATTTTGTAATTGGTGTAAATTTGTGGATTGCAGTTGATTGAAGGGTATCAAGTAAATGCGCTCCAATTGAACCAAAGTGCTGATGATATGATGTATGGAAGACAACAAGCTCAGCCTCCTAGCGATGCCTTCTTTCATCCTCTAGATTGTGAACCCACCTTACAAATTGGGTAAATATTCTTCTATTCTTTCCAAAATCTTTTATTCTTACGTTTTTTTAACGTCTTGGCGCTGGTAGGGTCTGTGTACATAGTTTACGCTAGCTGAGTTATGCTGAGTATTTAAACTTTTGATCTCTCGATTGAAAATACATAGTTTATACTAGTTGAGCTACGTTCATTTCGTGTATTACGATTAGCATGATTTACGATTTGCTATGCTGAGGATTGAATTTTTGACATCTCGGAGAATACATAGTTTGACCTCTTGATCAAGAATACGTAGTTTATGCTAGATGTGCTATGCTAATGATTTGAATTTTTGACCTCTTGATCGACAACACGTAGTTTATGCTAGTTGAACTACGTTCATTTCGTGTATTACAATTAGCATGGTTTATGCTAGTTCTAGTCCTACCTAGAATCATAACACCCAATTCAAAGTAGGTCGGGGTGAGAATTTTGTAAGATTAATGTGAAATTGAAGAACAAATTTATAAGAAGCTAAAGAAATGAAGATGATTAATTTGCAGGTATCAGCCAGATCCCATAACAGTGGTGACTGCTGGGCCGAGCATGAATAATTTCCTCCCAGGATGGTTGCCTTGAGAAACAAAAATTGGAGAAAGAAAAGGGCTTCTGTTGCTTACCTCTAAACCCCTCCTCCCAAAAAAGGAAAAAAAAAAAAAAAAAGAAAAAAAAATCAATTTTCATGCTTGGAACTTATATATATTTATATATATAATTAATACAAACTCTGCACTTTAGTCTTTGTAAGCTAATTATGTGTATGCTATGACTTTGCTTTTTGAACAACAATTGTAATTTCATTATTTTTCTTCTTTTTTCATAAAGTTGTAAGTTTGTGTGCATTTTTATATTTTTTTTTTTTATTTTCTTGGAATATTTCTTATATTAGGACTGAAAATTGTTTTATTTTACCATTTTCCCGACTTACGATAGTAAAATGTAATAGCCCAAGCACACTGCTTGCCAATATTATTCGCTTTGACCTGTTAATTTTAAAACATCTATACCCTTGTAAGATATGTTTTATTTCCTTTTTAATGAAATTTTATAGAAAACTTCCCAAAAGAAATCAAGAGTAAATGTTTTATAACAAAAGAATATAAATAAATAAATAAATAATTAATTAATTAATTAATTTTTATGAATTTTCAAACAATGTAAAAGAAAAATAAATGAATTAAATATTTGAAAGCTATAAAACAGGTTTTAATTTTCTTTCTTTCTAGTTCAAACATTTTTTTTATGTTTGAATGGAACCTCCGTCCCTCATGGGCCACTGGGCAGAATAAAGAGGCCCGTTTTATTGGGTCATTTTCAAGCCCATTATACCAGAACTGGGCTCGTTGTCCATAAAATGCACTTTTCTATTTCTTACCGTTAACGTTTGGTAATGATTCATCTAATTTTTACTGCAATGAGTTAAATTAATTGGTTAACGGTGGCAATTATTACCTTGTATTAAATTTTTGCAACAAACTGATTATATTTTTTTTAAATGATAAATTAAAACGTTAGTCGGGGCTCAATTCATACACAAAATTTTGGTGGTGTAGCTAGGATTCGTCTAGTTCCTTCTTCGCTCTTTCTTGCACTCGACCTACTACTTATCGTCTTCTTCTTTTGTTTTTCGCTACTCACCTCACTAAGACTGTACTGAAGAAGCTACACACTACTTAGTTTTTCGTTCGTAGCTATAGGTTACTCTTCTATCATTCTTCTTCCTTCACACGGCACGCATTCCTACTTTTTTTTATTTGCTTTTCGGATGAAAAACCTCCCACCCAAAAATAAAGCACGAGTTGGGTTGGGTTGGGTTGGGTTGCCAATCCAACCAACCCAAAGTTATGGGTTGGTCCAAAAAGTACCTGAATCCAACCTTTGTACATGTTGAAGATTATTGGGATTGAATCCCAAGTTGACTAATTTAGGAAATGATCATGGGTTTAGAAGTAAATAATACATCTCCTTTGGTATGAGATCTTTTGGGGAAGCCCAAAGCAAACCCATAAGAGCTTATGCTCAAAGTGGACAATATCATATCATTGTGGAGAGTCGTGATTCCTAACATGGTATTAGAACCCTGCCCTAAACTTAGTCATGTCAATAGAATCCTCAATTATCGAACAAAGAATTGTGAGCCTCGATGGTGTAGTCAAAAGTGACTAAAGTGTCGAACAAAGAGTCATCTCCATTGGTATGAGCCTCGATGGTGTAGTCAAAAGTGAGTAAAACCCCCTTTTGGAAAAGCTCAGAACAAAACCATGAGAGCTTATATTAAAAATGGACAATATCATACTGTTAGACATTGGAAAGAGCACTGATCCCTAAAACAGTACACCCAATACAGATATTTACACCGTACACTCCAATACTAAATAAAAAAAAATAAAATTAAAAACTACCCTTAATAATCAATTGGGTGACTAAATAATTAAATCAGTATAAACAACTTTTAGTAGTATAATTTGAACCAACAATAATCTAAATATGTATAATCTTAGCAGTAAATAATAATATAATAGTTAATATGAATATAGTGTTCATATTATTAAACTTAAAAAAACAAAAAAGACATGCACAACAAATTAGTATATAATATAAGAAATGGAGGGCAAAATTTTACATTTTTCATTTTTGTATACAAGACAGTTAAAGTGCAAAATTGCTCTGTTATTTTTTCTTGGCTGAGGAAGTGACACGTAGGTTTACAGACGAAGCCACGGCAGAGCACTAGGGCTCTGTATTCGCCCCTTTTATCCCTTCTGGATAAAAGCCGGTCATTTCCATTTTTAACAAAGTAAATATATAATTATATTATAAATTTAATTCTTAAAATTTAAATTTTACCTCAATTTTATTAAACTATATGAATTTATGTATATATATATATATAATATAGTAATTCATTGGGTATTTATCGTAGGCACTCTCTTCAAATCTCAGTTAGTGAGTACACGAAGACGAATGTACCTTCAAAATGAGCTTTGAGTATGGAAGTTCAGTGGTCATTGAATGAGATAAGGGATAAAGGGCGTAGGCACGTACTTTACAATTTCTCTTTTAAAAGCGTGGAAGACTAATGAGTGACGAGAGACGATTTGGAATCTAAATTCAACACCAAATGGTCCCACATTCCCGTGCTCATAAGAGGGAAGACTATCCTCATAAACCAACCACAAGTGATTCCAGCACGTTTTATTCTCACTCACATACATCCTAGGAAAATTCCTAGAAGGTCACCTATTATAGAATTGCTCACAGCAAAATTAACTATCCTATTATCAGGCTCACAGTGATCTAATATTAATATTTGAAGAGAAAATATAATTAAGTATTTATAGCATATGTGATGGTTTAAATATAATATTGATATTTGAAGAGAAAATATAATTAAATATTTTTGTAGCATATGTGATGGTTTTAGCTATTTTTAAGGTTATGGTATGAAAATATAATTATTTTATTTAAAAAGAAACTAGGTGTTATATGAGCTGTGACATCTGGCCAAGTGTAATTAGCCAGTTGTTTGGAGTTAGCTCAACCGCACAATGTGACATGGATGGGGCCCTCTGGGGCCCACAACGTTTATTTTTCTCTCTTTTGGATAAACGCTCGTCATTTGCAAATTGCAATTTTCACCCAAAAGTAAAAAAGTAATAATAATAATAATAAAAAATTAAGCATCCAACAAAACGCCTCCAAAACGTGCGGTAAGAATTGCGTCGTACAATTTACTGTTTCTTTTATGAATTTTAAATTGAAAATAGGCGCACAGTACGTGAGGGCTTCGCAGCCACAACTACTCTGACAGACTTCACCAAAACGCGACACGTGTCGTCACCAAAACGCTCCGCTTCTTAATTTTTTTTTATTTTTTTTTTAATTTTTCCGCCCTTCACTGGTATTAGGCTTACTGAATACGGGAAGCGGAAAAAGAAAATAAAAGTAAATATATATATATAAATTAAAAGAAAAACCGACCAAAAAGAAGGGGCTTCGTTTTGTGAATGGTTTGGGAGGAAGATAAAAGGAGAGTGGAGAGAAGAGAGTAAGAGGAATTAGGGTTGACTGTTGAGACACGAGAGAAATGGGACGGAAGAAGATCGAGTTGAAGCGGATCGAAGATATGTGTAATCGACATGTGACTTTCTGCAAGAGAAGATCTGGATTAATCAAGAAGGCTCGAGAACTCTCTGTTCTCTGCGACGTTGAGGTCGGACTCGTCGTCTTCACCAACCGCGGCCGTCTCTATGAGTTTTGCAGCGGCGACAGGTACGAGTTTTTTTTTTTTTGATCCTTCGTTGTTTTTCTTGTTTGCTTCGATTCTTCAATCTCTGATTGTGTTCGTTGCTATTGCTTTTTGTTTCTGTTTGATCTTTCTACGTACTGCTTTATTTTCTCGCGAACTCGGTGATAGTCTTAGTGTTAGGAATCGCGTTTTCTAACGCGAGCTCTGATTTCTGATATCAAAGAAGATTATGCTACTCTTCGTTTGTTGTTTGATCTCTGAGAGATACTTTCTACATGAAAATCGATGGAGTTTAGCGTTCCGTCTGATTTCTTGTTGAATGTTTCTTGTCTTCGTTACGTTTCGTTCCTGTTACGGACTGAGAAAATGCAATCCTGTGTGATCTTAAGAGACTTTCTCGGAAGATCGTTGGTTCTCAGTTTTCCGATACTTTGTTCGCTCACTGTTTTTTTCCTCCATGTTTCTCTCTCGTCCATCCATGGTTTCCTGCTTCATTTACGTGTTTTCTGCCTTGTATGTGAATGACTAAATTTGAAATTATTTACATAAGAAATATTTTAAAGCCATGTAATTACAAAACTGAGACTAAAACCGTCACTGTACCAAATAATTCCGTTCGTCTTAAAAAATATATTCTAATGATTTTTTGATATGTTTGTTAGGTGTCAACATCCAAGTATTTATGTATAGAGTCAGGTGAAGAGCATTATAGATGAGAAAATAAGAAAGAAAAAAAAAATAATGAGATTCTTAAATATACTGAGAAACATAGATATAAGTATGGCATTGGTATATTGAGTACTTTGAAATTCAATATTCAAAGACTAACTTAATAGAGATTATGTTTATTTTTGTAGAAATAAAAAAATCGACGTTTTCTATATAACTTATTTAATTAATTGAGAATGGTATATTATTAATTTCAAGTAATTGAGAATGGTTTTTTATTATTTTTATTTTTTTGACAAATCATTAAAAAGTTTGCTATCTTGTTATCCGAATTTGTCACCAAATTATTTACATATAGGTTCTATTATATTGCTTTTATATGATTATGGAGTTACTCTAATGTATATAAGGCTATTTGGTAAGCAATTTTGCAAAAGGATAGCATTTCAATTTTCGAATCTCGAATTTATTATTAAAATAGTTTTCAAAAGTCGTGATTCGATAATTTATTAAAAAAAAATAATGTTGTTGTCTTGTTTCCTGAAATGATTACAAAAAGAACGTTTTTCCTAAAATGATCACAAAAAGAACAAATGTGAATACCACTTGAAAGGAAACAAAAACAATTATGTTTTTGTATAAATTGTTATTTTTGTTGACTTTGGAAATACTGTTTTCAAATGATTGTGCCTAAAAAGTCTTTTTAGTCTCTAATACTTCAAATTTTAATCTATACTTTCTAAAATTTAATCTCTATAAATTTTTTAAAGATAGAATTAGTTTATAAATAAGTTAGTAAACGTAGTATTTTGGTGAATTGATGAAAATTTAGTGGTAAAAAGTTGGGTAAGAGAAATTTTATGAGAAATTAGTTGAAATTTCAAGTT